TTTGCACTAATGATTTTGAGATCCACTGAGAATTAGCTGTGTTTTTTGTAAATTAGTGAGGAAGTGGATAAACACTATTATTAACAAAACAACAACAAAAAAGAAAGGTACTGCTTGCAACAGTACTGTGTGTTATTTGTTTATCTGACAAGTGTTCTTTACTTTCAATTATATTTTGTAGTTTGCTAGCAAATGCTCTTGTGGCAGGTATTGTAATAATCCTGGTAACTTGAGACCTTGCTTGGTGCATGCTAAACCTTTGTTTGGAACAGGTGAGAATCAGCTGGGTTTTTCCAGCTTTATCCTAGTGTCTGTGGTTTCGGGGGGTCCTCTTGTAATTACCAACCAGAAGTGTGGGTTTCTCTATCTGATGGTAAAKTCAAGATTTGTAAATCTTTTTCTCTAGAAGGTGGCTGCAGCTCAGAAGTTCTGGAGGTGTTAGTGGCCTCCGCCAGGCAGTAACTGAAGCACAAGCAGGATAACGTTGTCTTGCTGGTGGTGCTGAGCTGGGTCCAGAAATGCAGAGAGCAGCAGGCCTTGGCTACCCGTGCCTGGGCTTCCCCAGCATCCTTGTGCTCTGAGCTGGATGCAGTGCCAGGGAAGGCATCGTCTGCACTGGCAGATCTTAGTCAGGAGCTTGGGACACAAAAGGCAGGAAAAAAAAGTAGGTTTTTTTTTTCCCCTTAGCACCACCTGCCTCCAAAAACAGGGTGATGAACTGCAGAGCAAGGAATATTCAGGCTCTTCTGGAAGTGAATGTTGCTGCTGATGGGTGTCTTGGGTGCAAGGTGGAAATCTCTGCTAGGAACTGTAGATGTGACTTTGAGAGCATCTGATGGAGATGCTCTGTTGAGAGAGGATCCTTGCCCAAAAGGACCAAATCTCAGGTGTAAGAGGGCAAGTTCTGCAGGAAAASAGGTGGAATAGAGACTCGTTCCCCTCTGAATGTTCTCAGGAACATTTTGGAAAGGAGGAGATGGCCAGGGCAGAGAGGCCATGTAAGGAATTCCTCCAGGAGATGCTCAGAGCYGCACAGGGATTAGGAAAACAGCAGCCATGCAGCTGTCCGCGTGAGCGATGGGAAACTCCTAATACCACTGCCAGCAATGGAAGGGCTTGTGCCACGCTCTGAGAGCTGTGTGGAGTGACGCTGTGTCAGTGCAGGCTGCATTTGCCTTTTTCAAGGGAGTTATCTTTAGCCTGCGTTTAATTGAAACGTGCATTTTTTGTTGGCAAAGCCCTGGACTCCGGAGGTTGGCTCCTGCAGTGCTAAGTGCTCCATAAGCCTGTAATGAATGACAGTCCTTGCCCTTAAAGCCTCGTGTGCGCTGTAAGGGAGTTGCTCTGGGTGCGATAACCTTTTCTTTTATTTATTTTTTTTAAATTTAAAAGCAAAGTTGTTTTAACTCAAATGAATGGGKTTTTTTTTCCTGCCTTTGGAATATGGTAAAAGGCAGTGCAGTTAATAGATCTAAATGGGCTGAAGGTGACAAATGCAGGTGTGTGGCCCTAGCAGGTCGCCCTCGGAGGCGAACGGCCCTGCGAGGAGGGATGGGAGCTGTAACCGCAGCTCCTTGGAAAAGCTTGTGCTTTGCCTCGGCTTTGCGCTTTGCCAGCCACCCCACATTAGGCAAACATGAGCTCTAACACACCAGACCTAATGCATTTTAAAATCATCCCTCTCTGAGGGCAAACGGCAGGTTAACGGGTCAGCCGATTCAGGTGAACCGTTTAGTGTGCATTAAAATCACAATTTATGCAGTTTACACTCCAGCTTTTGAACGGGCTAGCAATTGAACATTTAGCAAAATCACCTGCAGCTGCCCTCTTCCAGTTCACTGAAAATAAATGCCTTTAGTGCAGTAGGAAAAAAAAGGATCAGAAGTCATTTTGGATCGTTCTGCTGCTAAGATGGGTAGCTTGGGATATGCAGGAGGGCTTGGTGTGATTCAGATTTGTATGTTTTGGTGTTCGCATCCAGATGGTGCCTGGGAGACCATTCAGATAAACATTACTGGAACATCACAGTGTGTGTCTGAACGGTGTGGAACGGCTGATCGGCAGGTTCACTCCCTCTTTTTGTTTCCATTCCTGGATGAAACAGCAAAACAAGATTCAGGGCATCTTAAAATGTGTGTGCGTGTATGTGCGTATGGAAATGTGACTTTTTCTCTGACTTTTTCTAATTCTGAAGAGTCAGAGATTTAAAGTTACAGTTCCCACAGCAACTGTAACTCTCCTCTTGTGCGTATGTTACAGTTTGCAGGACTCTATACGCTATTAAATTTATGCCCGTTGCAGGACTCTGTACGCTATTAAATTTATGCCCGGCGTGTGTACGCTCGGCACAGCGGAGGAGCAGCTGTGTACGGCAGATCTACGCAGGCCTGATGGAGCGCTCCGGCGATAACCCTAAATTTTAAAGCCTGTGGGTCAGATGCTGCGTTTAGTTGTGCTGGTGTAAGTCTGTCTGCATTCATAACCTGTTGGTGAATTTGCCCCCCGCCAACATTGGTCTTGATGTTGCCCGAAGAACACCCTTGGGTGCTCTTATGGTAGGGCAGTTCCTGGCTATCCCTCAGCTCTGAGCAGGGCGAGCTGACCTGGGCATAACAACAACAGCAGAAGACAGTGCCCTGTTGTTGCTGGAGCTGAGCGATGTTATAAAAGCTGTGGAAGGAGGAGAAAAAGACCCAACAYGGTTCTCTTTGGGTCACAGTTCAGCAAGCCATCCCTGCTCAGCAAAGCAGTGCAGCATGGGCTTTAGTCTCATAGCCTGTAATGGGAATTAAACGCTTATTTAAAGTTAAGCATGTGTTTAAGCACCTTGGTGAAGCAGTGCTTGAATGAGGATTTCAGACATACAGAGAAAAAAATGATCTATTTTTTGGTAGATTTGTCTTGTGTCATTGCTGTCTTTTACTGAGAAGCGTGGTTGAATTGCTGGAGCTCTGGACTGGATGCAGATCTGTTCAGAAYTGGTTTTTGGTCTGGGTGTTTAGTCTCTTCCTTGCTGCTCATTATGACGACTTGYTCTCCGTCCTTGGTCCGTGCCGTGCCTCAGTGACCTCCACTGGCTGAGATGCTTGGGTTTTCCTGGCCAAATGCGCTTCTTACTGCTAGATTTCCTCTTGAACGATTCTTGCTCTAATTTCAGGTCCTTGTGCTCTCCAGTGTGGACATAGGGAAAGAATAACCATTTTTCCGTCTTTGCTGGCTACATTTGCTTCCATTTGATGTAAAGAGCTGCTTCCTCTCCCTGGTGGGGGGAAGGTGCGTGGAAGAAAAAGCAGTATCAGGTTTGCCTTTGTCTTCCTGACCAGGCTGAAGCATGGTCTCTATTTTAGCATCATATTATAGTGGTGGGGGAGTATCCGTGCAATGCCTGTGTGCTCCTGCACTCTGCCTTCAAGGTCACCAGTGCTGTGGGTGGATGGAGTGACTCCAGCATCCCAGCCATGAGAGACCCTGTCAGCCTGTGCCGCTCGGCAGCCCGTGGTGATGACGGGATGACGATAGCTRGAGACTGGTGTTATCCCAGCTTGAGGGAAGAGCGCAGGGTAACACGCTGTTTTGTTAAAGCTTGAGGAATCTTGTGGCATATGGGGATATGTCCTAGACCCAGGCAGGTCTAGAAGTGCAGAGGGGGTCATGAAGAATGTCTGTGCGTAGGAAAGGGAAGACTCTGAGAGGTGTCTACTGAGATCAGCCTTATTTTTCATCCTTAATGATCTGAAAGTGCACACAGCACGTTAATTAAGATTTGCAGAAGAAATATTTAAATTGAGAGATGCAGCAAAGAGAAGAAGAGCAATAGCACAGAGGAGTCCTAGGGAGAAGCTTCAGATTTGGTCAGGAAAGGAAAGGAACAGGCACTGTGCAGCTGAATATAATTTCAGCTGATATTTTTCTTCCAAAGTTGTTGCAAGCGSAGCTCCTCCAGGGTGTGAGCACTGGGATAAGAGCACGTGTATTGCCTGTCCCAGTGAAAGCCCTGCTAGTGCTGCTAACAGAGCTGAAAGGGAGGTGGAAGGGACCTGGGTCTTTTGCAGAAATGCCATATTGTGGACCTACAGATTGGCAGATCTCCACTCCTGAGTTTGGCTTCAGCAGAGCATTTGGCCAAATGGATGAATTAGTGGTTAATGAACATGGCTAATACAGGTGCTTCCAACTCTGCTTTGGGTTGCGGTTTGTTGAGGGGCTCAGCCTCGAAGGAGCTGTGCCCAAGACAAGTATCTGTCTGGTAAAATGACATTTACAGGGTCTCTGTGCCACAGTTTGCTCTTCGCTTTTAGTTAAATTCATTAAAAATCTGTTAGTTTGAATTACAGCATGGCTAAAACCTGATACAGATGTTTGTTATACTCCCCTGTTGAGCGCTGGTGAGGATGTTTTCTTACAGCATTTGGCTGAGACAAGTGGGRAAAGGTTTATGCACAGAGGTGCAGAGAGCAGAGGTACAGACCTTGCTGCTGGGACTGTACCCTTGGCTGTGCTTTAATATGGATGGTGCCTTATCTGKCCATTTGTATCCACAGTCCTTGTGGCTCTTTCTGTTTCTGAGCTGACACTGGTAAGGTATAAAATGTTTGAAAGAGAGATAAGGTGCTATAGAGCTGAACGCTGTGACTTGTGAAGAAACATCGTGGATTAGAAGACCAGAAGGTGGCCATCTATTCTGGCCAGCTGTTTGCTACAGGGCATAGGAAAAAAAATGACAGTGATGGATAATCCAGTGCAACTCTTGGTAAATTGTTCTAGTGTTTAATTACCTTCACCGCAACAAATAAAGAAAGGAAAAAGCATAAAATGTGAAGAGCCRTGAGGGGTTTTCTGGAAATCACTTTTACTTCTATTCGATGGTTGTGTTATGGTCTCTCATGTGGGAGACCATTTTTTCATTAGGACAATGTGTTTTATTAGTGTTCAGGGACACAACCAGAGAGGATATTGGGACACGCGGGAAATGAGAGTGATTGGCTGTGGCTATTAAGGGAATGACGTACGAGGTAGGCACCAGGAATTTCCTGTCTGTCTATCTCTARGTCAAAAGATATATTTGTCTGAAGGCTAAGGCCAAGAAGATGCAAATCATCTCAAGACCCCATCTCCAGTAAAAGGCAGGAGGCTGCTGAAATGGCAGAAGGCAGCAGATACAAGCAACTGGCAAGGAGGTGTTCAAAAAATATTGGCAAAGGTTTCCAATCTTCTTGCCCAGGAGAGAGAGGTGTGTAGGTCAAGTGGGGATTACTSAAGGAGAGGATAACACGTAGGTATCATTCACAAGGGAGGACCTTCTTTTGTTGCTTCAACTCATTTGTTGGCAGACAATTATGACTGTGTTTTGCAAAGGCTGAGCCCCATTGCTGTAGTAATGCTGCTAGACTGCAAAGCTTTTGAGCTTGAGAACTCCTGCAAGAAGCTGAGGCAAGCTCATCCCATTAAAAGAGTCTAAAAAAAAGTGAGGGAGACCCAGAGACCAAGCCTGAGATGTGTAGAGTTATGAAGCACCAGAGTCCATTGCAAGAAAGAGTTTAACCAGACTCCAGAGGCACCAGGACTCTATCATGTTCCATGCCCTTTATGGTAAGGCTTGGGTGAGAGTAGGTAGATTTTTCCATGTTCTTGTCCTTGCTTTAAAATAAAACAAGTATATTCTGAAGATTTGATTACCTGATAAAATCTAGACCTCAATACCTTTCAGAAAACTTCAAAGGTAATTCCTTCGATACAAGTATCGAACAAATGCTTTCCTTCCTATCTTCCGTCTTTCCTCCCCCTCTTCTTCCCAGTCTTGTATGAATGGTGTCTCTGTTGATTATCAGCGTTTTCTGATGGCTCTTCTAGACAGAGCATGATATAGCAAAGGTTGTTGGTTTTGGATTTGCTTTGCATGCAAATTCAGAAACTGTTAGGCATCTTGGACAGACACTGCTAACTCTGCAGATCGATAGTTTTGCAACCCACAGCATTGATACAAGCACCCAACTCTGATGGAGTTTGGCAGTGACTTCTTCCAGCAGATTTTATTTATTTATTTTTTAAACAAATCTCACCCTTGTGGCTTTCTGGCTTCAGCYGAAGCTCATTCCCGTGCCATGCCTGAGCCTCAAAGTTCTGCAGTTTCTGCACGTGGCAAATATTATGCTCTTCAGCCCTATTCCCCCTTATGCCATGACTTATGCCCATCCGTGTTTCACTCCTATGGGTCTTAGGAACTCTCCACATTACATGGAGGAACGTGTAGCCAGCCCTTAATAGGCACCAGATGGACCATCTTACAGTCTTATTACATCCAAACGCTATTTTATAGCGCAGACAGTTTTACCTACTAAGTTTTATTTCAGMCCCTTCTGTCACACCTTGGCTTCCCCTGGCCTTGGTTCACACCAGGATTATCGCTACCTCTGAAGCAGGACGGAGACCATTCAGCTGCTTTCCTGGCGCACGGGGAGCCGTGCTGCAAGAACCAGGTGCCTTGAAGGCACGGGCTCAGAGCAGAAGCCCTGGCCTGAGCATCAGGAGGAGCATCAGGAGGAGGCTGCGATGGTGGATGCCACTGCTGTGAGTGTCCCAGGCTGGTCGAGCTCGTGGCCCGCAGGCTCCTGCTAAGCTGGCTTGGGACACGGAGGAGTGCAGGGGGAAGGACATTACGCAGGAGAATATGCATGTTCACAGCTCAGAGGATTAAAGACCCGTGTTCTTATCACTGCAGAACAGAGTATTATAAATCCAGCCTTAGAATACCAAATCCCCTCGCGGCATGGCCATTGTTTGGGAATATTAAAAAGCTCTGAGACAGAAATAATCAGTTTCCGAATGACACACTGTCAAATAAAACATTTCTCATATTATCCCTTCCTTCCCCTTTCTCTCTCCAGCTCCCTCAGTTGGATAATTTAACATGAAAAATAGATTAAAATGAGGCTGGCTTGAATGCTTCCGAAGTTTGACTCTCTTTCTCCCCAGGAAGCTCTCCCTCCGTGTGTGTCACGTTTAAATAAGCGGCTGCGGGCACCAGGTTGGGGCCGAAAGGATCACATTGAAACTGAGCCAGCCTTGAAAAAATGATGACTGCTGCCCTAAGGAACGGGCAGAGGAGCTGGAGTGGCAGCCGCAAGGTGTCCGCACCGCTCTCTGGCTAGACCTCGGGGACTGGGGTAATCCYAGCTCGCCGGGAGGACTGTGGAACGGAGTCCCAAGCGGGGAGCAAGGGCTGTTGTAGCGGTGCCTGGTAGTGAAGGCTGTGCCGGTTCGGGGGTGTTTGTGTGGGATTTGCCTCCTCTRCGCTTGCCTTTTTTTCCATGAAATGCCACAGGACCAAGACCTCCCACTGGTTGTCCTCATGTCCCCTGTGGCCAGCAAGAGCTGCCTTTGGGGGTTTGTAGTGAGTAGCAGCTTGGATGGGAACTTTGGTTTACTTGAAATGACCCTATTGTCCAGGGACTTGTGAGGACTATAGACTGGAGAAGGATCAGCAGGCTAAGAGCATCGGTGGCTTTGGACCTTTGTGTAATTTCTCATTAGAGCTCCATCCAAGAGGCTGGTGGTTTTACCTGCAGTTCTTTTCTGCTCACAACTTTGTGGTTGAGGAGAGCATCCAGGAACAAGTCCGGCCAAGAGGCTCTGTGTCACGGCTTTGCCAGTAGTCGTGTCAGTGAGTTCTGTTGTTGCTCTGGAGCACTGCTGCAATATCAGAGCCCTAATTCAGTTATAAACGCACTGGCACAGAAGATGGACCAAATTTTGCAGTGTGGCATATCTTGTTGATGTTCGTGACCCTGCTGTGCTGCGTGTCACTGGATCTCCCTTTGAGAGGTGTGCTGTGCAGCTCTTTCTCTCAGGCAAGTCAGACTTCCAAGGAAATAACCTCATTGGTGCCACACGGGCAGCAGGAACATCCTGGCCTGAGCCTCCAGCGGTGTTTTATTCTGGCTTTTCCAGGCAGTGCTGTAGGGTCCAGGTGGTTCCTTCTCTTGGACTGAAGGCTGCAGAAGGGCTGCGTGTGATGCCCTGATGAACACAGATCCCAGGATTGTGCATGACCTGCATGGTGGAACCCTCTGTTGATGTGTGCTCATCCAACGAGCTGTTGGGGGAAGAGAATGGGATTGGAGTGGGAGCGGGGCAAAGCAAGTCTGATTTCTACCCAGATCGATGGTATTTGTGTCCCTTAAGTTATCTTCACTGCATCGTGGCCCATGGTGGGGCAGTGTTGGGCTTGGGAACACCCTCTGCATCTCTTCCTAACCCTTCCCAGTGGATGCAAGTGTGGAAAATGTAATCKTGTGCTTCCTGCTCTGGACCTGTTCTACCTACCCTGAGCTGGACCCATGCAGGAGGGAAGCCCACTGCCAGCAAACCGTGTAGTGCGTGTTGGAGGGAGGCCGGGTCTCTGCAGCCAGGCCTCACCGCTGAGCGACTGGGAGATGTGTCCCGGGCATGGCCTGGGTTCTCCTTGCATCAGCACTGCTCAGACCCAAGGAAGTGCATTTCTTTTTGATGAGCTTGAGATATCCTTGCTGTATCTGGCTTCCAAGCACAGGTAGGATCCTTTTCAAAGCCAGGTAGGATCCTGTAGCATCGCCTGTCCCTTGGGCTGTGTCTGTTCCCTCCCATGGGAGCCTGCAGCTGCTGTGGATGCTGGAGCTTCTGGGCTGCCCTGCCAGCCTTGCTACAGCAAGGAGGTGGCCATGTTTCACTCAAACCTGCTCAGAGCACCGTCGAGCATCAGCCCAGGCAAAAGCAGCGAAGGCAACTGCAAATCCATCCAGTTGTGGCTGTTTGAGGGCCCCTCAGCCAGCTCGCTCCGAGAACGGCAGTTTTCCATGCCGGCTCTTTATAGATGGTCCTGTTTATGAGTCTGAGCTGTGCTCTGGGTATGGCGCGGTGTTTGGAACTGAATGCAGATGAAATATTTACACGTCTTCCCTTTGCTTTTGCACATTCTGTAAAGTTCCCGAATATGGCATTCTTTGTGCTAAATAAATGCCTGCCTTAACCTGGCAGTTACGTGTCGTTCTGTAAAGCCCCARTTGCTCATGCTGCTCCTGATTTACATGCCCTGCTTTGCTGGTCTGCCACAGGATAAAATTGCCTAGGCTCTGCGGGGAGATCGAGTGGCTTGAAGCTTGCACCCACCTCTCCTGCTCGTGTAGGGGATGAGAAAGATTGTGTCTGTATTAGCTTTGAGAACAGTGAGAGGCAGAGCTGGTGTCCTTCAGCGCTACCCAGCCCGAGAAGAGACTGCCCTATGGAGCCCTAGGTATTGGGGGAGGATTTCTCCCCTTCTTCCCCAATGTTAATGCAGTTGTGGGCTGCATCTAATTAAATGTAGGGGAAGAGGGGTTTTGCAGAGAAGGTCTCCGACTGGAATATGTCTTGTGTGGGCCATGTYCCCAAGTCTGCCACTAACATCTCATGTAACCTTAGGCAAGTCKCTTGATTGTTTGCAAAGCAAGAAATAGCACTTTGGTGGCTCACTTGGAGACTTTGGAGGATGTATCTAGTGATGCTTCAAGGTATTCAGCATGCTGGTGGTGTGAGCAGCAGGAAAGACTCCTTCTCTGGAGAGCAGAAGCTCTACATGCAGGATGCATATAGGAGCTGCACAGTGGTGAGCAGACCAGCAGCTGCAGCATCAGACTTGCACTCAAGAGCTCTTTCCTACCTATGCTCTGGGCAAGCGTGACCTTAACGCAATATGTGGCCACATCTRCACATCTGTTCTTGGCTGTAGGGCTGGAGAGCACTGTCCTTATCATTATCACCATTTCCAAGGAAGGGGGACAGCTGTCACAACCCAAAATGAAATTTAAGGGGCAGCCATACCCAGGGGAGCATCACCTGTGTTGTGGCTCGTTACCTGGTCTTYTACGTGCATCTCTGCTGAGACTTTGGTGTTGGTTATTTGCTTGTTTTCATAAGGTTTCCACTCTTAAATATGGGAGAGCGCTACCTTCTTCCCCACCTTCTCTCACAGGGATGGAGGGACTGGAGCCAGCATCACCGTGGCCTGTGTGTGGCAAGCCAGGTGGGCTGGTAGAACTGAAGGTGAATTATTGAAAACCAATTCCCTGGAAGAGTGGGCAAAATAACTTGGGGCAGAGCCGTACACCTCCTCAGCCTCCCCTACCCTGTACGGATCAGGTCTTTCTGGCTCTCCTGATGTTTTGTCTTTCCCGTCTCCCACAGGGTGGCCTAATTGCTCTGCTCCTGCTCCTGTTGGTCTTCACAGTGGCTCTGTATGCTCAGCGGCGCTGGCACAAACGCCGCCGGATCCCGCAGAAGAGTGCCAGCACGGAGGCCACGCACGAGATCCACTACATCCCTTCGGTGCTGCTGGGTCCGCAGGCCCGCGAGAGCTTCCGCAACTCGCGCCTCCAGGCCCACAACTCGGTCATTGGGGTGCCTATCCGCGAGACCCCCATCCTGGATGACTATGAGGATGAGGAAGAGGAAGAGACCCCACGACGGGCAGAGCCCAGCACCAGGGAGGATGAGTTTGGCAGCCAAGTGACACGGACACTGGAGAGTCTGGGCCAGGGTGGGGAGGAGAAACCTGACTACGAGAAGAAAGGTTGGTGGCTTTCTGTTCTTTCCCACTTTCCATCCCCTGCTAGTCTGGCTGTCCTCTGCGGTGCCATTGGAGTGCTTAGCTGAGCCTGGCTGYAGCTGGTACCTGCAAAGTCCTGGAGGGACTCACAGCCTCTGCCATACCTGTATAGCTGCTGTGGGACATTCATGGCTGTCCAAAGTGGCAACCACTGTGTGTAAAATTTGATTGCTTGCTCTTACTCTGTGAGTTCTTCAGAGGGAAGGATCCCGTCAGAGCTTCTTAACTTCCATTAGTAGCTTGGTTGATATCTCTGTGTGCAAGATAGCAGTGTTATCCCCATCCTTAGTGGTGACTTCAGCGTCTGGTATGCTCCTGTTTGATTTGAGCTCTGCTGGGGACGCTGTGACTGTTTGAGGTGGCTGGTGGCAGTGCAGAGGGAGGAGGTGGTTGTGCAGAAGTGCGTGCTTTGCCTTTTGTCCTAATCTTTCATCCTCAAGCAGGTTTAGAGATGTTGTCCTGGAGCTCCTCTCCCAGCAAGGGGAATTACCTCTTGATGGTGTTGGGGAAACTGAGGYACAATTAGCCATGAGCCCTTAGCTCTTACTGCCAGATGCCAAACCACCAGTCCTCTAGACTCACAATACAACCTCGCTGTGCTTTTCTGGTGGGTCAATTGCTCCTAAACAAGATGGGCTCACCAGGAGCTCTAATAATGTTTTTGCCTGGTGTGGGTGTTAATCAGTCTGGTCTTTACTCTTTAGGTGGCAGAAATGTTCATTGCTCCGCTGTAGAGCAACACATTAGTTTTAGCAAGCAAATGTGTTGGTACAATGGGAGCTCAGTGAGCCAGCTGAGCCTTGATGGTCCTTGGAGAGTTGCTCCATAAAGCTGTATTTTCCACTGGTGGCAAAACATTCCCTTCTTTTATCCTCTGAGCAATCAAATAAATGATCCTGTAGTCAACCCCAAACAGAGTCATCAGGGCTGCAGATTTAAGGTGCACACACAGAAGCCCTGTAAGGAGATGACAAATGAGAGCATCTCATGGTAGGGGGAGAACTGCAGAACTGAATCCATATGGATCTGATAGAAATAGATCTTAACTGTGTTCTGTTTCCAACTGATGGTGTGTGGTATTTAGCCCCGCTGTGGAAGAAGGCAGGTACAGCATTATGTAACGTCTATAGGTTAGAATAGAAAGACGCCTRTAAAATACTGCATCAGTTCTTGCTGCTGATCGCTGTAGTATCTGCCAATCCCTCTGCTGCTGACTGTGCTTGTATGGTCTAATATTGGATAATGCCACTGTTGTGAAAGGTGTTAATCCTCTGACAGACATGGAGAGTTGGGCAGCGAGGGCCTGGGCTTGCGTGTCTGCTCCTGAGCCYTCTTCTGTGCAGGTGAGACCACTGGGGGACACTCCGTGCCTTCCCAGAGGTACTGGGGTGGCACTTGGAGGTGCAGTGGGCTCTTGGGGTTTCCCTTTCGTCTGTCAAGAGCCCAAGTGCCAAGGAAGTTGTATCTAGACCAGAAAGAAAGCAGCAGTGGTGGGGAGCCAGGTTGCTCTGGGTCACCCAGCGCGGGGGACACGGTGTCAACCTGGTGTTGACACAGCTGCAGGTTGCCTGCAGTAGAACAGGCTGCGTTCCTCCTTCCTGACTGGCTGCATAGGATATCCAGGAGCAGAGGAGAGCCAGCCCCTGAGGCCAGGACCAACAAGGGAGAGGAGAGACAGCAGCTGATGAGTTGCACGGTCACTCCTGGGAGAGGCGGAGTGGGAGCAAAGCACGAGCAATAGATGTTGGCCATGTCTCTCAAAGTGCTCCTGGAAGGTGCTCAGATGCTCTAGGAGAAGGCTGGTGCCAGAGCCTATACACGGCATGCGAGACTGACTTCTCTTCAGTTAACTGTTCTGTTAACTRCAAATAAAACGCACTCAGCCAGACCATATGGCCCTGCTCCTTGTGCTTGGAGCATCGCAGTGTGGAGGGCCAGGCTCACTCTGGGTTGCTCTGGCCTGCCTGTGTGCGGAATGGGGAAGGAGGCCACTCTGTGGGCACAGCCAGTGGGCTTCACGTCTCCTGCGTGCAGAGGAAAGGCGCCTTCCCCAGAGCTTTTAACCTAATGCATGTTTGATTACCTGCATTTTTTTTAAATACCATCTTGCTGAAGCTCTAACACCCACCTCTGCTTATGGAAATGTCATTAGGAATTGTTTAACATTGTTAGCCTGCAAAGTACAGTAAAACGCTTGCAAATAAACAAAAGTAAAGTACATTAGTCCTAATTGCTGTGCCACTGCAGCTGGCAGGAGGATGGGAGGCACCGATTCCTTGCAGGGATGGGGCTCATGGAGAGATGCTGGATGGAGCCAGCAAGAGCCAGAGGGTGCACCACATGTGCAGAGCAGGTACCTGCACCTGCAACAGTCACCAAATGGTGTCTGACACTGAGATCTTTCCAATGCATGAAGTGCATCTTATTCTTTCATCTTCTAAGCCAGGTTGTCACGATGGTGGCGGTTCTCATTGCTTGGAGAAGCACAGAGGTGCCCCAGGGTCTCCTGACCACCCTGAGCACTGATCTGAGCAGCTGCGTTGGCTTCTGCTGGTGTTAAGTGATGTTTTCCCCACCCTGTGCTCGGTGAGAGCGAACAAATGAAAGCCTTCATATAATGTAACTGAACTGCCTTTTTTTATTCTTTCATATTCTCTTTTTTGTTTTGCTTTTCTATAAATTATTTAGTCGTGTGAGTGGAGAAGACAGCAGTAACTGCATTTCAGTGCTCTTCAAAACGTAATAGTAAACAAGATCTAGGGCAGAATATTAAACTCTCTAAGGACTTCAAGAATTGGTGATAAAGTACCTTTTGTGCTGACTGAAAAATCCCTCCAACCTGGGGCTGCGACAGTTTCCAGAGCCAGGATTGGCCACAGGCTGCTGGTAGCTCTGAGTTACATTCACTAATTGTCCTGCCAGTTCTCCTAAACACTGTGTTGTGATTTGCACCTTGAGCTGAGACAGAGGAGAGAAGACAAAACCTTAATGAAACCAGTAGAATAACTCAGAAATTATGGGGCTACTCAAATCTTTCTTTGAATATTGGATGCTCCTGCAATTTAGGAACCGTGACCATAACCCTGTCTCAGAGAAAGCAGAAGGGGAGCACTGGGACGGATGTGCAAAGCCATGTAGGACTATGCGGTTGTCTTTGGCTTCTGGGCACATGAAATACTGTACTTGAGTGCTTTTCTGTTGCTTGGAAATTTGATGTCTCAGAGGTCTTCCTTCTGAACACATGTGGCRCAACCCAGTCCTGAGCTCTGGCTCTGGTGTAACCACGCCAGCAGAGGTGCTGGTGGTGCCAGCCTGATCACAGAGCACTCTAGGGCACCTCCATTCCTTTCCTTGGGTAGTGACATGTTCCTGTGCTGCTTAAGAGCAACTTTGTGCATGTGTGTGTCCTTAGCAAGGTAGGTTCATCATATGTGTATGTGCCTTTCCAGGTCTGGTTCCTCTGGAGCCTGCTGACTTCTTCCCATGGGGTCACCTTCCCTCTCCATAAGGAGGATCTTCTCAAGCAGTGAAGCTGTGGCATCCCTGAGTTACTTCTCTGTGCTGAAGGTGGCCAGAGCCTTAGTAACCATAGTTCTGATTAGGATTTCAGGCCGAAATATTAAATGCAYGTGTTGGAAGCCATGCACTCGCACCTCACAGCTGTTTTGCCCATGCATGGGCAATTCTGTGCTTTGGGAGTCACTGGATGTAGCTGCGTATTTTCTCTTGTCTTGAATCTGCCTGCCTGCTTTACCCACCCACTCAATTGGGAGCTACAAGGTTTTGGTGCGAGCCCCTAGAACCAGGTGGGAAATTGTGTCAACTTCCCATGGGTCGCCTGGCACCTGGGGAAAATGTTCCCCTTGCTGATCCTGCAGTGCAGCTTTGTGAGAAGACATCGGGGGCCTTGTCAGCAGGCTCCAAGTGGTGTCACCTTGTGGGCTGTCACAGAAAGCTCTTTCAAGTGTCAGTCCTCAGCATTAATTACCAGGGATGGCAAAGCTGATGAAGAGCGAGCGTTGCCTCCACCTTTGCATGCTTATGGCATTCTCCTGTGTGGAGGGGCTCTCAAGCACAGCATGAGCCCTGGGAGCTCTGCTGGACCTGGGTGCTGCCTCCCTTCCACCGTGCTGCACGGCAGCATGTGCTTCCCATCATCGCGAGTTTGTGCATGGACTCGATTGCACTTTCCATGGATGAGGCTTTTTTTTTTTTTTTTTTTTTTCTGGAGCTCTTGCACCGAGAAGGTCTCTTGCAAATTGTGGGCAAGCTGAGCACGAATGCGTTGAGCCAAACTTTCCTCGGGAGTCTCGGACGCGGCTCTGCAGCGCGACATGCAGAAAGGCAGCTCCCTCACACCACCACGGCTTCAGAAGCGGAGCTTGGTGCAAACAAACAGGAGCAATGCGCTGAATAATGACATCTAGCAACAAGCGCGTCTCGGTGATAAAGTTAATGAAATTACAGGTTCTGACCTGATACCAGGCTCTGCTGTGGGTAGATAAACAGCAGGGCAAAGATGAGATGTTTATTTCTCCCCAGCTGCAGCCTGTAATCTGGACGCACCGTGCAGGGCCATTAACGTTATTACTGTTATGCAAAATCATTTTTGATTTGGGAAGGAAAAAAAAGAAGGCCCCAACTCCCTAGAAAATGGAAAGCTGACAAAATTAGAATTGCAGCAGGAGCACAAGCTGACCTGGTGACATTGCACAGAGCCCAGATGAGTTTAGACAGAATAAAAATCCAAGGCAGTTTATGAAGAAGAAAAGTAGTCTGTCTTGTTAATAAGATAAAATAGAGCACAGGTAGAGGCAAGAGACAGCAAGTTCTCATTAGTCAAAAGGGTCCCTTGGTGCTGCTGGGGAAAGGGGGTTGTGCAGCCTTCTCATGGTTTTGGGATTGCCTCAGGCAACTGAGAAATCTCCAAGAATTTCTTGCTTTGTGGGTCCAAGAGGCTCAAT